CAGATGGTTAACCCCTTCTGCTCCACAAACATCCGATATTCCAAAAATGGCTTTATCTAGAGGACGGTGTCCCAAAATGATCCTCAGTGTCCAGCAACAGGTCAGGGTTTCCAGCTCTGTCCAAAGGTGAAATCATTGCCATGTTTATTTTATGGTGGGTGTGCAGGGCCCCCCGTATGGAGAGCCCTGTGTTTATGGTAGGTGTGAAGGGTCCCCCCCGTACGGAGAGAGCCCTGTGTTGTGTTTATGGTAGGTGTGAAGGGTCCCCCCCGTACGGAGAGCTCTGTGTTATGGTGGGTGTGCGGGTCCCCCCGTATGGAGAGCCCTGTGTTATGGTGGGTTTGCAGGGCCCCCCGTACAGAGAGCCATGTGTTATGGTGGGTGTGAAGGGGCCCCCGTATGGAGAGCCATGTGTTATGGTGGGTGTGAAGGGGCCCCCTTATGGAGAGCCCTGTGTTATGGTGGCTGTGAGAGGCCCCCCCGTACAGAGAGCCCTGTGTTTATGGTGGGTGTGCAGGTCCCCCGTATGGAGAGCCCCCCCCCGTACGGAGAGCCCTGTGTTTATGGTGGGTGTGCGGGGTCCCCCGTACGGAGAGCCCTGTGTTTGTGGTTTGGTGTACGGAGAGCCCTGTGTTATGGTGGGTGTGCAGGGCCCCCGTATGGAGAGCCCTGTGTTATGGAGAGCCCCCCGTATGGAGAGCCCTGTTTATGGTGGGTGTGCAGGGTCCCCCCGTACGGAGAGCCCTGTGTTTATGGTGGGTGTGCGGGTCCCCCCGTACGGAGAGCCCTGTGTTTGTGGTTTGGTGTACGGAGAGCCCTGTTTATGGTGGGTAAGGCCCCCGTATGAGAGCCCTGTGTTATGGTGGTGTGCAGGGCCCCCGTATGGAGAGCCCTGTGTTATGGTAGGTGTGCAGGGCCCCTATATAATGGCGGGCATACATGTGCTATATTACAACATCTACACATGCATTATGTTTTATTTTATTTTCTTTTAAACAAAGTTTTACTACTGCTCTAAAGCTCGGTTTTAGCAGGAAGATACAGCGGGTAAAATAAATATTGAACACGTCACCATTTTCTCCAGAAATATATCTCTAAAGGTGCTTTTGACATGAAAGTTTCACCACATAGGGGGGGGGGGTGGGAACAACCCATGCAATCCATACATACAAAGAAACCAAAACAAATACGTTCAGAAATTAACAGCTTTCTCTCCGTCCTATAGAAGAAATATTGCTACAGGGCAGCAGAGGTGCTATGCAGAGCTATACAAAGTAGTGCGCAGGAGCTGACAGGGGAGAGATCTGTATTACGGGGAATCGGCAGCGGGAACCCGGTAATTGACAGCCAAGGTCCCCAACCCGGAACAAAATCGTGTGTGTGTGTGTATGTGTATGTGTATATATATATATGTATATGTATATGTATGTATATGTATATGTGTGTGTGTATATGTATATATGTGTATGTATATATATGTATGTATGTATGTATGTGTGTGTGTGTGTGTGTGTGTGGGCGGGGCAGAAGTGTGTTGTGTGTGATTTTGGGCGGGGCAGAAGTGGTTAAGCTTTGGCAATAAAACCTGGAAGCCAATTGGTTTCTATGCAGAGCTGCACCAGATTTTGCAATCTGCAGTTTTAATACATCAGTCCCAGTGTGAATAAGCTCATCGAGTTTTCTTAAACCTAATCTGCATCCTTCAAGATTTAACATGTTAATGTAATTTCAACCGTTTTTGCAAGCATTAAACAAATGACGGTGATCCTGCCAGTAGGATCCTTTTAGGAACGACCTATCAGGTGCCAACTGTCTCCTAGTTGTGTAATACCACCTTATCCTATGCACCCCTGGTGAATGCCAACAAGTGGCAGACATTGATCAGGTGTGGTCCACCAACAGGCAGCAAGTCATGAGAAATGCCTTGAAGCGGACTCTGGAGCGTGTGCAAGTAGACGGGAAGCACAGGTTGCATTTCTGTGAACCAGGAGGTGCTCAAACCAGAACACCTCCAGGTTCACTGTGTGGAGGAGAGGAGAGATCCTCTGTTCATTCTGTTAGCCATTCTGATACTTTTTGTGGTCTCCGGGACGGGATTTATGGAGGGCCTCCACTTCCCCCACCAGTAGAAGTGATTGAACAGCTTTACAGCCTCCCTGATCACTTCTTCTTTTAAAGTGGTTCTAAAGCCTTAACCACCTCCCGTCTGGCCGTTGTATAGAAATGGCTGGACGGTGGCAGTGCAGGGTCGGGTGGCCGTTTATAAACAGCCTCCCCGCCCCCTGCATGTGCATGCTTCCTGGGAGCGCACAGCACCGCGATCCGGTGCCCACTGTGTCCGAACACTGAACAACTTATGGGACCTCTGTGCGAGGTCCCGATCATGTGATCACTGATTGGCCAATCAGCGATCACATGCAGAGTAGTAAACAAGATGTCACTTCTGACATCATTGCTTACTACGTGTGAAATCTGTGAATGATCACATGTGACAAGCTGTGACCAATCACAGCTCACACAGTAGTTCTCAATGGTGGCAAGAATGCAGCCAGAGAGAAGGAGAAATGATTGCTTTTACACCCATAAAGGCTGTAAAAGCAATCAGTGTAAAAAAAAAAAATCTTCATCACCCCCCCCCACAAGTAGTACAGTCTCACCATGGTACTGCTAGGGTGACAGTATGTAAAAAAAAAAATAAATAAATAAATTATATATATATGTAAAAAAAAGTTTAAAAATAATGTTTGGTTATAAACCAATTAATTTTTTTTTTTTTTTTTTTACTAAAATGATAACAGAATACATTTTGGCTAAGATTTATGATGAAATATTATTTATTTGCAAAACTTTTTATAAGAACACTTTTTTTTTTTTCCCAATATTTTTGGACTTTTTCATTTACATAGCAAAAAAAATAAAAATCCCAGTGGTGAATAAATACCACCAAAATAAAGTTTTATCTGTCTCAAAAAAATTCATATGGGTACAGTGTTGCATGACCGCGCAATTGTCATTCAGAGTGTGACAGCGCTGAAAGCTGAAAATTGGCCTGGACAGGAAGGGGGGTAAAAGTGTCCAGACATGAAGTGGTTAAAGATTTTTACATTAATGAATTCTCTGTATTAAGGTAAAAAAAATGCTTCTTTGCAGATAATTCCCCCAAGCCTGATCTCACTCCAATGCTCTCTGCCCAAGAGCAGCAGCTCTCTCTTCTCTCTCACAGGGCAAATTGATAGCAGCAGGAGCCATAGTCTCCTACTGCTGCCATTAGAATTCTGTGATGAGGGAGTGGGGGACAGAACCAAGGCATGCAGACAGGATGGCTTGGGATCAAACCTGCACAAGTGCCCCCATAGGAAGGGGCTTCCTATGGGGGCACTTACAGAAGAGGAGGAGCCAGGAGTGCCAGCGGGGGACCCCAGAAGAAAATTGGGGTGGCTTTGTGCAAAACCATTACACAGAACAAGTATAACATGTTTACAATGATGCACGTCACACTTACCTGCTCTGTGTAGTAGTTTTGCACAGAGCAGCCTGGATCCTCCTCTTCGTGGGTCCCCCCCTCCTGTCGGGTGACCCCACAGCAAGCAGCTTGCTGTGGGGGCACGTGAGCAGCGGCTCATCCCCACCCCCTCTCTTCTCATTGGCTCACAGGCTGTGATTGACAGCAGTGCGAGCCAATGGCTCAGCCAATGAGCAGAGGGTGTCCCGGGATAGCCGAAACTCCAGTGCACATCGCTGGATCGAGAGAGGGCTTGGGTGAGTAGGGGGGCTGGTGCTGCACAGAAAAAGTTTTTTACCTTCAAGTATAGAATGCATGAAGGTAACAAAACCTTCAGCCTTTACAAGCACTTTAATTGTTAGAAAAAAAAAACCCATAAAGGTGTACAATTACATAAACCTCTAAGCCTGTTGATGAATTCTGAGACAAGTTCACTCGTTACACTCCATTGGCTGTCGGCATCAATGAAAGCTTCATATTGAAAAATATTGAAAATGCCTTTTAAAAACGAATGACATTAACACGTCACAAGAGATTCTGGTGATCGGGTTTATAGTACACTTTAGTTTTTCACATCACTTTATGACGGCTTTAGTCAACGTGATCCTTCTGCGAGAGGACAAAAATTTCAATTTAGAGCTAAAAATAGAAAACTATAAAAAGAGTTTTTTTTTTTTTTTTTTTCCCTTCTAGAAAGTTTTTATGGGCTGATTTTTCCACCGAGACCAGAGTCGTTTTTTAGAACGATCTATAAAACATTCTGTTATACAACATACATAAACATCACCTGAGCAAGAAAAGAGCGGAGGAGCTTACAGAGAGTAAAGGCAGCCCATTGGGAATGTGTGAGCGACTGGAGGAATAATGAAGGGGACAGGAAAGTGTTTCTGGAAGAAGTTGCCGGTGGGGGGTGAGGAAGAAGGGCAGCGTTGATTTTTAACCACTTCCAGTCCGGACACTTTCACCCCCTTTCCTGTTCAGGCCAATTTTTTAGTTTTCAGCGCTGACACACTTTGACAATTGCGCAGTCATGCAACACTGTACCCATATGAATTTTTTAGCATTTTTTTTTGAGACAGATAAAGCTTTATTTTGGTGGTATTTATTTACCACTGGGATTTTTATTTTTTTTGCTATGTAAATGAAAAAGTCCAAAAATTTTGAAAAAAAAGTGTTTTTCTTATAAAATTTTGCAAATAAACAGTATTTCATCATAAATCTTGGCCAAAATTTATTCTGTTATCTTTTTAGTAATAAAAAAAACCCAAATTAGTTTATAACCAAAATTATAATTTTTAAAAAAATGTTTTTTACTTTTTTTTTTTTTTTTTTTTTACATACTGTCACCCTAGCAGTACAGTGTCACCATGGTGACACTGTACTACTTGTGGGGGAGTAATGAAGATTTATTTTTTTTTTTTTACATCCATAAAGGCTGTAAAAGCAATCATTTCTCCTTCCCTCTGTCTGCATTCCTGCAGCCATTGAGAAATACTGTGAGAGCTGTGATTGGTCACAGCTTGTCACATAGTACAAGGCTGTTGTGAATAGTCCTGTACCATGTGACCCCTGTGATCATTCACAGAATTCACAAGTAATAATCAATGATGTCAGGAAGTGATCACTGATTGTCCAATCAGTGATCACATGAATCGGGACCTCACACAGGTTCCATACAGCGATCGGTGTTCCGCTGTGTCCGGATCCCAGGGAGCGCACACAGGCAAGTGAATGTGGGGGCCGATTATAAATGGTGACACACTACTACTTGTGGGGGGAGTAATGAAGATTTTTTATTTTTTTTTTTACACCGATTGCTTTTACAGCCTTTATGGGTGTAAAAGCAATCATTTCTCCTTCCCTTTGGCTGCATTCTTGCAGCCATTGAGAACTACTGAGTGAGCTGTGATTGGTCACAGCTTGTCACATGGTACAAGGCAGTTGTGAATAGCCTTGTACCGTGTGATCTCTGTGATCATTCACAGATTTCACACGTAGTAAGCAATGATGTCACAAGTGACATCTTGCTTACTACTCTGCATGTGATCACTGATTGGCCAATCAGTGATCACATGATCAGGACCTCGCACAGAGGTCCCATCCGACGATCGGTGTTCCACTGTGGCCGGAGGACACAGCGGGCACCGGATCGCGGTGCTGTGCGCTCCCAGGGAGCGCACACAAGCAGGGTGTGGGGAGGCAGTTTGTAAACTGCCACCTGACCCTGCACTGCCACCGTCCGGCCGTTTATATACAATGGCCACACGGGAGGTGGTTAAAATTTTAAAGAAAAAAAGTGAGGGCAGAAGATTTAAAAAAAAAAGATAGGGACTACTGAATCATGCAAACCTGGAGCAGTTGCTCTAGAAGTAGATTTTTTTTTTTTTGGGGGGGGGGGGGGGGGGGGGGAAAGCTTATCCATTTTAAGACCAGACCTTTTCTGACAGATTTTGTTTACATGTAAAAAATCCTTCTTTTTTTTGCTAGAAAATTACTTATAACCCACAAACCTATAGAGATTATTATGGTGGGTTTTGCAAATTGTTATGTTGCACAGTGTTTGCTGAGCAGTTTAAAAAAAAAAAAAAAAAAATTATATATGTATTTAAACTGCTCGGCAAATACTATGGAACATGACATGTTAGGTATCTATTAACTTGGAAGAACACAATCTTTTATATTTTACAAAAATTGGGTATTATACTGTTTGTGTGCATTAAAAAAAAAAATTTATATATATATATATACATACATACACACACAAAACACAAAATAATACCCTTTTTTTGTAAATTATAAAAGATTGTGTTATTCCAAGTTAATGGATACCTAACATGTCATGATTTAAAGCGGAGTTCCACCTGAAGAAAAAAAAATAAAAGTCAGCAGCTACAAAAGCCGTAGCTGCTGACTTTTAAAATACAGACACCTGTCCCTCGGTCCAGCAGTGTCCTCACCATGGCTGGTTTCACCAGCTGTCTTCTCTCCCCGGCGCCGGCATCTTCAGTGTAAGCACCCGGCTGTGACAGCTTGCGGCTTCCCACTGCGCATGCACGAGAAGCGCTGCGCTTTGACTGTCACATGTCCCAGAAGACTATTGGGGGGGGGGAGACAACATCTGCTTCTGATTACAGTGGCAATCGCAGTGGAAGTGGGTACGGGTAACTGTCAAATTTGGGTACCCGCTCCCCCAAGGTGCCAGTCCTTAATAGAGAGTGGGGGACAAAGGCTTAAAGCGGAAATTCCCTTTAAGGCTTAGATTGGCTGTCAGTACTTCAGGATTGATCAATATTCAGATATATCCCATAGTTTGTGAACTCTATAACTTTCCTACAGACTAAATAATACATCCTAATTTGGGTTATTTTCACCAAAGACATGGAGCAGAATACATCTCAATTTATGAAGAACAATTTATTTGCAAACTTTTATAACAGAAACAAAGAAAAACGTGGGTTTTTTTTTTCAAAATTTTCGGTTTTTTTTTGTTAATTTAGCAAAAAATAAAAACCCCAGCGGTGATTAAATACCACCAAAAGAAAGCTCTAGTTGTGTGAAGAAAATTATAAAATTTTAGTTTGGGTACAATGTTGTATGACCGCGCAATTGCCATTCAAAGTGTGAGAGCGCTGAAACCTGAAAAATGGCCTGGGCAGGAAGGGGTAAAAGTATTGAATTGGTTAATATGGATGGCTCTCCATGGAGCAGAGGACATAGACCCCCAAATAGATGGTCACATGACCCTGGGCAAGCGAATAATGAATGGACTCCCAACTCTAGGCTTTGGTTTCCAAAGTATTTAGTAAGAGGCATGCTATCTGGAGCATTATCCATCTTAAGGGCACTTGGAGATTTATTTATTTCAGGTACTTATATAGCGCCGCCAATTTACGCCGCACTTTACATATATATTGTACATTCACATCAGTCCCTAACCCTCAAGGGGGGTACAATTTAAGGTCCCTCAAGGGGGGTACAATCTAAGGTCCCTAACCCTCAAGGGGGGTACAATCTAAGGTCCCTAACTCACATTCATACATACACATACTAGGGACAATTAACCTACCAGCATGTCTTTGGAGTGTGGGAGGAAACCGGAGAACCCGGAGGAAACCCATGCAGGCACAGGGAGAACATGCAAACTCCAGGCAGGTAGAAATAATAAACCCTCCAATGGATGAAACCCTAAAGTAAAGCTGCTCACACCCAACCTAAACCTAATAGGTGTATGTACAAATAGAAAAATAATATGGTGTAGCGCTAATCAAACTAACACATAATGATAACACTGACGTATAAAGCCGTTCATAACTCCGCCCCTAATTACAGCACCGGCCTTGTCTCTAAATATGACCCAAACCGTACTCTCCGCTCCTCGCAAGACCTCCTACTCTTTAGCTCCCATGCTCATTTCCAGGATTTCTCAAGGGCTTCACCCATCCTCTGGAACTCCCTACCCCAGGCTATCACCTACTCTGCTCACCTTTAGGCGCACTCTGAAAACCCATCTCTTCAGGGAAGCCTACCCCGACCCCAGCTAATACTGGAATTCACTACTCCTCCTACCACTCCATCCCCCACAGCTAATTACCTCTTGTACCACTATCCCCTCCCTCCTAGATTGTAAGCACCAAGGATCAGGCCCTCTAATCCCTCTTGTATTGTATTGTTACTGTATTGTCTCCCTCCATAATGTAAAGCGCTGAGCAAACTGTTGGTGCTATATAAGTCCTGTATAATAATAATAATATGTATGCATAAAAAAATGAATGTAAACAACAAGCACATAAATAATAAATGGCAAAACGAAAGTGATCTGATCCAACCAGCATCCAATAGTGAAATATACAAGGTGAAACGTGAGAGGCCAGGGATAATCCTGGATGGACCTCTATGTAGTGAAAACACAAATTATTATACAGTATTTATAAAGCGCCAATAGTTCGCTCAGCGCTGTACATTACAAAGGGGGACAGAACATGTGACAGAACAATACCAATACAATGCAAAACACGAGGGGTTCGAGGGCCCTGCTCTTTCGAGCTTACAATCTAGGAGATGAACAAAACCCCTCAAACCCCCATTTCCCTAAATGAGGGATCAAAGAGTACATATAATTGGGTGTAAACATAGGTGAATCCCCAACCAGGGGATATACAACCTAATAAAGTGATAAGTGCCAAGACAAAACAAATATCAATATACACATAGCCACAATATAAACATCCGCATAAATAAAAGTGAAAAATATATCACAATCAAAAACTCAATAAATTCACATTAAAAGTCCAATATAATGCAAACGTGATCCACGGCCCAATATCATGCAACTTCAGGCAGGTGGTGCCGTGATTGGGATTTGAACCAATGACCCTAGTACTGCCAGGAGGAAGTGCTAACCATTTAGCCACTGTGCTGCCCATGAGCCGAGAACTTCCTATACCAACATATCACTCATGTGGTGTTGGGGAGCACTTTGTTATTGTTGGATATATGTTGTATTGAGTAAGTGCCTAATCCAGGGGTGGGCAAACTTTTTGACTTGAGGGCCACAATGGGTTCATATATTGGACCCGGGGGCTGGACCAAGAGTAGATGAATGATGTGTATGTGTCATCCATAGTAAGTATAGTAATATTCCCCCATAGTAAGCATAGTAATTCATCCCCCATATAGTAATTCATCCCCCATAGTAATTCATCCCCCATATAGTAATTCATCCCCCCTAGTAATTCATCCCCCCTATAGTAATTCATCCCCCCTATAGTAATTCATCCCACCTAGTAATTCATATATAGTAATTCATCCCCCCTATAGTAATTCATCCCCCCTATAGTAATTCATCCCCCCTATAGTAATTCATCCCCCCTATAGTAATTCATCCTCCCTATAGTAATTCATCCCCATATAGTATTTCATCCCCCATAGTACTATTCCCCCCCAAGTAGTAAGCCAAGTCCCCCCTGTGTCAATTCACTTACCTTTGTTCCGCGCGTTCCTCTCGCCATGTTCCCGCGCCGTTCCGGTCTTCAGGGGCGGACTGTGAGAGGAGCCTAGCTCCCCTCCCCTCACGTTCGTCACGCTGCCCCGCCTACACACATCCTGACAGCCAATGTATCACGCTCCGCGGGCCGGATTAAAAGGTCCGCCGGGCCGTAGTTTGCCCATTGCTGGCCTAATCTATTCATGATTCGATACATTCGGGGGTTTAAATCATTCAACAAACAAAAATAAAAACTATTGGATATTAAAAAAAAAAAAAAAAAAAGGTCATACAAGGTCAACACAGCTTTAGGAAAACGTTTTACTCCTCTTGGTAAATCTGCCGATCTATTTCTCATAAGTCACGATATGCGCTCGTTTCTCGGCCTTTTGGCTAAGATCAAGTGTAGTATCTGTTCTTATCAGTGTCCAGTAGGGGTGCTCCACGGTCATCCTAACCTTGTGGGGATGTTTGTATAGTACCCCTACTGGTATGATGGGGGTCCTGATGGCTATTACGGGGGGAACAGAGACCGGGAACCCATGAGTAGAAGCTGGGGCCTGGGAGTAATTCCCCTTTGGAACGTCAGAGGGACCCAGTACCTCCTGATTTGGACGGATCTACCTTGTATGGCCAGGGGTCGGGAAGGCAGAAAGTCCGCAAACCAGTGCCCCCTGAGTAGTCGCCTCAGGGGTGCCACTAGTAGCACCTGGGTGTGGGACCCCACTGTGTGAAAATGGCACATGGTCACTGTGTTTCCACTTTTCCTGCACAGCGCCCTTAGGACCAGGCCTTTTGGCTAAGTTCGGGGCAATTTTTGCTACAGGCCTCAGGGCCTGGTCTGTGCACAATTTGGCACGACCACTTTTTTATTTAATTTATTGCACCTCCCACGTTTTGTCACTTTTTCTTTACTTATGTGTGTGTTTTCCTCACAGGATGGAGGGTGTGGGTCCTTGGGCCTACCCTGAAGTCTAGGGGGAGGATGTGTGGCCTTTTGGTTCCTTCCTCCCCTGTCCCTAGGGGGTTTCTCTTCGAGAGAGCCCCCTGACCAAGTACTGGGTGGCTGGCTTCAGCTGGACACAAGGAACGGTGGTCCACCAGGCCTTTTGGCCAGGAGGACCAAATGGGAACCTTGTCCCTGTCAGGAGCTTCGTGCCCCGGGGGATCAGGGTAGTCCCCCTACGGGGGAAGGACAAAGCACACCCCTAAGTGCACTTTTTCGTGTGGTGTTTTGCACTTGCACATTTTTTGTGAACACTTACGGGTTTTTCGTTATCTGCACGTTTGCGGACTTAAAAAAAAAAAAAAAAATCTATTCATGATTCGATACATTCGGGGGTTTAAATCATTCAACAAACAAAAATAAAAAACTATTGGATATTTAAAAAAAAAAAAAAAAAAACATAGAAGGTCAACACCGCTTTAGGAAAAAGTTACTCCTCTTGGTAAATCTGCCGATCTATTTCTCATAAGTCACGATAGGCGCGCTCGTCCGCGGTAACGTTTTTGGAGATGGAATCATCTCTTGCTATGCAGGCGTAGTATTGGCTCAGAAAGATTACACGGGATCAGACTGTTTTTTTGAATCCCCGGTGAATTGGTGGAGATAGACCGCCGAACATCACCTGTCAATCACGCGGGGTTCCTCTAATCATGCTTAATATTTATATTGCCATACAAACACGGGTAAGAAAATGATGTGAATTAATGTAATTACACATGAGATGACGGATGCCCCGCGGAGCCCCAGACAAGTGACAGACGCCATCAGCAGCTTGTTTTATCTTCTACCTACAGAAGGGAGATGTGATTTTATGTAACACAGGAGTATCCGCTCCGGCGATGACAGCTTGACGGGCTTAGTATTAGCACAGTATTAACATGGCCCGTGTTTTATTTTTAAATTGAGGGGGGGGGGGGAATCTGACAAAGAAAAGCTTCAGTTTGACAAATGCTCCGGGTTCCGAGCAGAGCGTGTGCGCCATCTGAAAAGTGTACCTGTCTGAGACGCCAGTGAGGAGTTTAGCTGTCTGACCATTTGATATGTATTCTGTCAGTCTGCTCTGGGCTATTAACAGGCCTGGGAGGGATTCACTATGTACACGGGAAACGTCTGAACGATGGAAACTGACTGCTGGAAAACGTAGGTCAAAAAAAGGTCTGTTTAGCCGCGTTTGCATAATTGCGTTTAGAAGCATTTTTTAACCACTTCCCGACCAGCCGTTGCATATAAATGGCCGGAAGGTGGCAGTGCAGGGTTGGGTGGCCGTTTATAAACGGCCTCCCCGCACCCTGCTTTTGCGCGCTCCCTGGGAGCGCGCAGCACCGCGATCCGGTGCCCGCTGCGTCCTCCGGACACAGTGAAACACCGATCGTCGGACGGGACCTCTGTACGAGGTCCCGATCATGTGATCACTGATTGGCCAATCAGTGATCGCATGCAGAGTAGTAAGCAAGATATCACTAGTGACACTACTGCTAGGGTGACAGTATGTAAAAAAAATAAAATAAAAAATAATAATATAATAAAATAAAAATGTAAAAAAAAAAGTTTTAAAAATTATAATTTTTGGTTATAAACTAATTTGGATTTTTTTTTTTTTACTAAAAAGATAATGAAATAAATTTTGACAGATTTATGATGAAATATTATTTATTTGCAAAATTTTATTAAAAAAAACACTTTTTCAAAATGTTTGGACTTTTTCATTTATATAGCAAAAAAAATAAAAATCCCAGCGGTGAATAAATACCACCAAAATAAAGCTTTATCTGTCTCAAAAAAATGGTAAAAAATTAATTTGGGTACAGTGTTGCATGACCGCGCAATTGTCATTCAAAGTGTGATAGCGCTGAAAGCTGAAAATTGCCCTGGACAGGAAGGGGGTGAAAGTGTCCGGTCTGGAAGTGGTTAAAAGATAAGCACAGGAGAACCTCCCAAATGCCCAGAATGCACTGAAAAGTGGTAAATTAACAATTTCAGACTGTTGCAGAGAAATACAGAGAGTAGAAGCAGAGACAGCAGTATGTGTTGAGATTAGCTTAGGTGTGAGTTGCTCATTAACCCCTTGACACTGACGTCACACAAATATGTGACCTCAAAGAACTGGGCTCTTTTCCGTGGGGCTGCATATCTGCATACCTGTCTTTGTGCTGAGACCGCGGTGTCACTGAGAGCCCCGGGTCCCGTTCTAACGATCGGGACCCAGGATTCCAGGTCACACAATCGCTGTGATAGCCTCTGCTTGGCTGTCACAGTGATCAGTCACTGTACAGCCTGGCCCCCTTGCTTTTTTTCTCTCTCTATGAATGGAGAAGAGATACATCGGAGATACTGCTCTCTCTTGGTTCTCATCCTACCTATCCCGACGCTCCTTCAGTGTCACCTACAATGGTGCCACCTCCCCCTCCCTCCCCCTCTCTGTTGGGGTCCCCCAAGGCTCTGTCCTTGGACCCCTTCTCTTCTCCATCTACACCTCCTCCCTGGGCAAACTCATACACTCCCACGGCTTCAACTATCACCTCTATGCTGACGACACCCAAATCTACCTCTCCACCCCTCACCTCACCCCCACTATCTCCGCCCGCATCACTCACCTCCTAAATGACATCTCAGACTGGATGTCGCTACACTTCCTCAAGCTCAACCTCTCCAAAACCGAGCTTCTCGTCTTTCCCCCTGCCAACACCCCCCCCCCCCATCCTATCCATCATCACCAACAACTCCACTATCACTTCCGCCCCGCAAGCCAAAGTCCTTGGCGTCATTCTTGACGCGAACCTCTCCCTCCAACCGCATGTCAAATCACTCACAAACACATGCAGGCTCCATCTTCGCAACATCGCCAAGATACGCTCCTTCCTCACCCCAGACACCACCAAACTTCTAGTACACTCCCTCATCATCTCACGCCTTGACTACTGCAACTCCCTCCTCACTGGCCTACCCAAGTGCAGGCTCTCCCCGCTCCAGACCATCCTGAACTCAGCTGCCAGACTCATCCACCTCACCACCCGCTCCACCTCTGCCACCCCCCTCTGCCTCTCCCTCCACTGGCTCCCGATTGCCCAACGCATCAAATTTAAACTCCTAACCCTGACCTACAAAGCCGTTCACAACACTGCCCCTGACTACCTCACCAACCTGATCCCCAAGTATTACCCTACCCGTACCCTTCGCTCCTCACAGGACCTCCTTCTATCCTGCTCCCTGGTCTCCTCCTCCCATGCACGACTTCTCCAGGTCCTCCCCCATCCTCTGGAACTCACTGCCCCAATCCATCAGACTGTCGCCTTCCCTATTCACATTCAGGCGCTCCCTCAAAACCCATCTCTTCAGGGAAGCCTACCCCACCCTCACCTAACGGCCATCCTCCCTCATTCCTCCCACCACTTCATCCCCCTCAGCCACTTCCTACTGTACCTTTTACCCCCTCCGTCCTAGATTGTAAGCTCGTAAGAGTAGGGCCCTCTTACCCCTCGTACATTGTTTGTTGTTGTTGTACTGTGCCATGTATTGTCCCCCTATTGTACAGCGCTGAGCAAACCCTTTGGCGCTATATAAACTCGTAGTAATAATAATAATAATAATAATAATAATAATACATTGTATCTCTCACTCCTGACAGAGAGAGAAAAAAAAAAAGTTTGTCAAAAAAAAACAAAAACTATTAAAAAATAAAAGAAAAATACCTAGATCAAGGTTTGATCTAGTTCAGTGCAAGGGTTAGTGTTTGGGTCAGGGTCAAAGGTCAGGGTTTAAAAAAAATGGTGTGTTTTAGGTATAAAAAAAAAAAACAAAAAAAAACAAACAAACAATATGCACTATTGTTTCTGGGCTGTACTCCGGGTACAAACAACAAATAACATACACATATATGGTATCGCTGCGATCGTCAAGAGCTGGAAAATGTATTTTGGGTTGTTCTTGGTGGTAGGTTATGGTAGTAACAAGAAACACAGCTAAATAAAAAAAAAATATTTTTTTTTTTTACTATTTTGGGACAGTTTTCCTTTGATAATAATAAAAAAAAAAAAAAATCAGGAGCTATCCGTTACCATTTACCACCCAACGAAAGCCCAATTTGTCCGGAAAAAAAACAAGGTATAATCCACCTGGATGTACAAAGTAGTTGTGATAATATGGGCGGTTTTACTATCACATATCAACGTTGTAGAATTGTGCTTAGGCATTTAGATTTGTTTTACCCTTAGGTGTGAAGGGGTTACGATTTCTTTTGTTTCCAAGGGTGGGAAAGGTGTCTGGTGGAGGGAGTCATTAAGGTCACCTGGTAGGGGGTCTTCATGAGGAATTGGAGGTGGGAATGGTCATTAACAACATATCTTTTGTTTCCAAGGGTGGGAGAGGTCTGAGGTGTGAATGGTCATTAACATATCTTTTGTTTCCAAGGGTGGGAGAGGTCTGAGGTGTGAATTGGTCATTACTATGTGTGACAAGCTTGGTAGGAACATCCTGTGTTCAGTGTTTTGTCCATTTAAGTACCTTGAAAACACGCATGCATTTGATGCATGATGCATAACCCAATAATAAAATATAAAAATAACCCAAAACATGCATTTTTCATGATGAAAAAAGGCTCTGGACAGCATCGGGAACTGGAAGAGTTAAACAAAAAAATTTGCAAACGCTTATTATTATACAGGATTTATGGTGCCAACAGTTTGCTCAGCGCTTTACAGTATAACGGGAAACAATACAGCAATACAAAAGGGTTAGGAGGGCCCTGCTCCTTGGAGCTTACAATCTAAGAGATATAAACGCGATTTGCCACGTTTTGCATTTGAAACGCTGATGCAATTGACTGCTGAACGTAAGTTTTCTGCGTTAAAAAAAAACGACTGTAAACTCAACTGCTTGTAAAGGACGATGTGTACACGGACACATAGGAAAACATTAGGGAGAGTTCAGGGGCTGCTGAAAAAAAAAACGCAGAACATCTCCTAAACGTGAGATTATCAGCTGCAGTGTACATGAACCCTAAAAGACGTTTATGTTAATTTAAAAGAAATTTACTTTTAATGGCCTTTTCTTTTTTTTTTCTTTTTTTAATTTCTTTTTTGTTTTGTGGATTGTGGCACAGAGTGGCCTTTTAACGTGTGAGTTTAAAGGGGTTCGAGATTAGGTTTTATAGGTTAGAGCAGAAGAAAAGCCTAAAGCCACCCATAGAGGGATCAAAAATCTGCCAGGTTAAAGCAGAAGTTCTGTTTGTATCCCATACACCCCCCCCCCCCATCCCCTGTGGCACTTTTTAGTGGGGAGGGTGTAGCGGGTACCTGGCCCGTTCTCCTTCCCCGTTCTCCTTCCCCCTGCAGCCTCTAGCGACACTTCACAGGTCCTAGAAGACTGCGGGATCATTCACAAAATGCAGCGCGCTTCGCATGTGTGCAGTATGAAAAACTAACTGTGAAGCCTTTATGGCCCGGTTCACACTACAAAAATGCACCACGGATATGTTTTTGCTTGCAGTTCACACCACACACAGTTTTGATGCAGTTTGCCAAGTTCCAGTATGGCTCTGTGCAGAAAAAATGCAGCATGTTCTAGTTTTTTTCTATACGGAAAATGAACTGGAACTCCCCTCTGGGTCGGTAGATGACCACCTCTGGGGGAGTGGGAGACCACGTCTAGGTCGGTAGATGACCACCTCTGGGGGAGTGGGAGACCACGTCTAGGTCGGTAGATGACCACCTCTGGGGGAGTGGGGAGACCACGTCTAGGTCGGTAGATGACCACCTCTGGGGGAGTGGGAGACCACGTCTAGGTCGGTAGATGACCACCTCTGGGGGAGTGGGAGACCACGTCTAGGTCGGTAGATGACCACCTCTGGGGGGGGGAGTGGGAGACCACGTCTAGGTCGGTAGATGACCACCTCTGGGGGAGTGGGAGACCACGTCTAGGTCGGTAGATGACCACCTCTGGGGGAGTGGGAGACCACCTCTAGGTCAGTAGATGACCACCTCTCATGGTGCAGCGATTGGGGGGCCTATCAGCCACTCATTGAGCCTGAACGCTGTCACATGATTTTGCGGCAGCTGTGAGTTGGGAGAAGAGTGTTGGGGGTGAGACCATAATGACCCATTAGGGGAGTCTCTAAACAAGCCCAAAATGTGGACCTAATTTTTATTTTCTGTTTCTTTCAGGTTTTTGGAAAGTTTGGGCATTTGTTGCAGAAGAGCGAGTCCCGTCACCACCCTCCCGTCCGATTCACCTACCGGTGCCTTCCTAGCCCACTGCCAGCCGCGATTGTACGAATGTACACACCTCACCATCCAATCCTGCTTTACAATGGAAACTGGCGGAGGAAAAAAAAACTGAAATCAAACCAATTTTTTTTTTTTTCTCACTGTAATTTAAGTCTATAAATAAATGTTTTTTTCCCTTTGTACGTGGAGACTGGAGTCTCCTTGTGATTATTTAATAATGGGTCACGGTGGGGGAGAGATGGAGCACGCGGTGTATTAGAAAAGAAGAGTTACAATGAGAGCCCAGCCATGTGTGACATCCCACTACTCCCAGGAACTGCGCTGACTCCCCAGCACACTGCGACTATTAAGTGAAGTGCCTGCTGGGTATTCAGGAGCTGCGTACTCTGCGTAATAGAGGATTAGCAGACAGGTTAATATTGGATCTAATGTTAGGTTTCATTTTCTATCTCTTTTTTTTTTTTTCTTTATAATCTGTAATTATACAAAAAAAAAAATCTGTTTCCTTCGTTTGATGACTTCGTCCTGAAAATGTGGTTTTTGTTGCATTAAAGAAGACCTGATCTATAAAACCTCCTTTAGATCGCTGTGTTTTCCTTTGAAAATGATAAAACCTTTTTTCTTTTGTTTTAGGACAAACACGGCTTTCTTTTAGTATATTGTCTCTTACTAGTTTGCTTTTCTTTGATTGCAGAAAAAAAATTGCAACAGCCCTTTTTTTACTACTTTGATCTTCCACTTAAATTAATGTTACTGTAAATCTGTGATCTCCAACCTGCAGCCCTTTGCTTGCCCGCAGCGGGCCCTTGGGGCACTCTTCCTTCTTCTGACACCAACAGTGGGGTATAATTCTTCCTGCTGACACCAACGATGGGGAACTAGTCTTCCCATTAATAGAATGATAGAAACACTATTCCCCTCACTGACATCAACAGGCATTATTCTTCCCACTGATTATCTATCTCATATCAATCGATCTCATATCAATCCATCTCATATCAATCGATCTATCTATATATCCATTCAGTCATATCCAACCCTTGGCAACTTTTTTCCATGAATTCTCTTAGCAATTATTTTTTACAGGGTAGGTTGCCAGGTCTTTCCCCAACCCCTACCATGCAGGAGATCCCCCATGGCCAGGGATGAACTAGTACAATTTAGACAGGAGCCAATTAACCTACCAGTATGTCTTTGGAGCGTGGGAAGAAACTGGAGGAAACCCACGCAAGCACAGGGAGAACATGCAAACTCCATGCAGGAGGCGCCATGGTCGGGAATCGAACCCATGACCCATTTACTGCAAGGCAGAAGTGCTAACCACTAAGCCACTGTGCCGCCCACTGATATCAATAATGGGGCACTATTCCGCTACTATCCCTTTTGACCACAGGGGCCATATTATTTTTTTTTTATACTCCCACTTATACTGCAGCATTTTCTACTCCCACTGGCCACAATCCAGCCCCCCAAAAATCTGAATGACAGAAAACTGGCCCTTTGTTTAGAAAGTTTGGAGATCCCCTCTTGTAGATAAAAGTATACATTTTATTCTATCATCTATCCCAGAGGTCTCTAGCCTTTCAAAACAGTTTACTGCCCTTCACACTTTAGGGGGCCCAGACTGTGGCCAGTGGGAGCAGAAAATGCCATAGGCTCGGCCGACAGTGGGAGAATTAATTCCCCATCTCTGGTATCTGTGGGAGGAATAATGCCCCATCATTGGTATCAGTGGGAGGAATAGTGCCCCATCATTGGTATCAGTGGGAGGAATAGTGCTCCATCATTGGTATCAGTGGGAGGAATAGTGCTCCATCATTGGTATCAGTGGGAGGAATAGTACCCCATCATTGGTATCAGTGGGAGGAATAGTGCTCCATCATTGGTATCAGTGGGAGGAATAGTGCTCCATCATTGGTATCAGTGGGAGGAATAGTGCTCCATCATTGGTATCAGTGGAGGAATAGTGCCTCATCATTGGTATCAGTGGGGGGAATAGTGCCCCATCATTGGTGTCAGTGGGAGGAATAGTGCCCCATCATTGGTGTCAGTGGGAGGAATAGTGTCCCATCATTGGTGTCAGTGGGAGGAATAGTGACCCATCATTGGTGTCAGTGGGAGGAATAGTGTCCCATCATTGGTGTCAGTGGGAGGAATAGTGTCCCATCATTGGTATTAGTGGAATGAATAGTGCCCCGTCAGTGGGAGGAACAGTGCCCCATCATTGGTGTCAGTGGGAGGAACAGTGCTCCATCATTGGTATTAGTGGGAGGAATAGAGCCCCATCATTGGTGTCAGTGGGAGGAATAGTGCCCCATCATTGGCGTCAGTGGGAGGAATAGTGCCCCATCATTGGCGTCAGTGGGAGGAACAGTGTCCCATCATTGGCGTCAGTGGGAGGAACAGTGTCCCATCATTGGCGTCAGTGGGAGGAACAGTGTCCCATCATTGGCGTCAGTGGGAGGAACAGTGTCCCATCATTGGCGTCAGTGGGAGGAACAGTGTCCCATCATTGGCGTCAGTGGGAGGAACAGTGTCCCATCATTGGCGTCTGTGGGAGGAACAGTGCCCCATCGATGGTGTCTGTGGAAGGAATAGTGCCCCATCGATGGTGTCAGCGGGAGGAATAGTGCCCCATCGATGGTGTCAGTGGGAAGAAGAGTGCCCTGCAAAGCAGGGAGAAAAGAACAGCACACATTATTGCACATAGTTAACACTTTGATTGCCCCTAGATGTTAACCCCTTCCCAGCCAGTGTCAGTAGTGTTATGACTGTATTAGTGTCATTAGCAACGTCTGTGTACCTCCCGGCCAAATGCAGGCCATAGACGGGTTGTTGGCCGAAAAACGAAAAATCTGTCGTTCTGTTGCCACCAATGCTTACGAAAATCGTCCGTTTTTTGTAGATTTTCCAGCATGACCGATAAAAGAAATGAGAAGGAACCACGAAAATCGGCCGACAACATTGCCCCGCTAACTGTGCGAATATCGGCCGATTATTCTTTCGGACGAAAATTTGGCCAATAAACGACCCATCTATGGCCTGCATAAGTCTGTAAGCGCCAGATTGCCCGCCACACTATCACAGTCCCACTACAAGTCGCTGATGATCACCATTACCAGTTATGTTTTTATATATATAAATTCTTCATAAAAATGAAGGAAAAAAAAAACATCAAACACGCAATACAGAAACGCCTCAACCTGCATAGGTGTGAACCTAGACTAAGAGCTCCTTTAGCCCGGTAGATTCTACGTTGGCGGCACCTGTCTCCATTCTAAAAACGTTCGATCAAAACTTGGATTCATATCCAAGAATTCTCAAAAGCGTAAAAAACACTTCATGTCATTAGAAACCTTTTTTTTAATTACCAATCCCTCGACCATGCACTTTATTACGCCATCAAAAGCATTTTCCAACCCACCCATCCACTTCGATATTA